TGCATCATATTGAGAACGGGGATCACAAGATAAGACCGGCTAATAACGCAAAATGCAAGAACTGCGCTGCAAACTACAAGCAAAATAATCCACATTGTTCAATGAATAACTCTCTAACTCTGTCATCTAAACTAAAGATAATTAAAGGCAGAATTATTAAAACATCCTCTGTATTCCTATACTGCTAATGAGAAGGAATATTTGAAAGCAACGAGCAATGCCCCCCCAGCCCCCACCCCCCTCAAACAATGGCACTGTTTGTGTCACAGAGCCTTGAAGAAAAAGCCTGCAATAAAGTCATGAAAGCCGCCAGCAAATAGCAAAGCAGAAGAAGTTAGCAAATATTAGCGGAACATTTCTCAGTGAAATGCGCCAAGAATCTCAAAGCTGAGTTTGGTTTGCTGTCTGAATGCAAATGTTAGCTCTGGTAGATGAGGGAAATCACACCGACAACACATTGGTATCCCTGTTTTATATTGTCTGTGGGAAGAAAAAAAAAAAACAAACATGATTGATTTTGAATCATTAAGGCTCGATCAGAAAGGGGAGCACAGTGGACTAGGAGTTAGCATACGTATGCTAACAGGTAATTGAAGACTGTAAAGTATCCAGAGTTGTGAATGAGTGTGTAAATGGTTGTTTTTCTGTTTGTGCGATTGACTGGCAACCAGTCCAAGGTGTACCCTGACAAACGTGCTCAAGTTCTGAGGCAGTGGAGAAGAAATGACTCGAAATAGATGCCGAAGAGTATCATCGGGCGCCATTTTAGCCACGCCCCAAAAAATAACAATCAGGAAAACCGAAATGATGAAGAGTTTCACGCTATCTCACCACAAACGAGTGCTACATACAGTTGTTGTCTTGCGGAATTTTACAGCAATTATTTTCAAACATGTATCATGTATTCTGAATTCACTTTACAAGGTCTTAAAGTTAACAAAATAATCCCCTTTGAGTGGTGAACATCTCATGGAGCAGCCTAATGAAGGCCGGTGTCACCCTGTCTTTTTTTTTTAAAAGGGTCTTTCGTATCTTCTGAGCCACATGAGATGAGACACTCGGTGGTGTGATGTACCAGGTCTCCTGGGGGATTTCCTGTCAGTCTGCTCTCGCTGTCTCATCTGGATATAAATATCCGCTGGAGATTTTTTTTTTTTCCCAAGGCCACCAAAAATACATCTGAGTGTCAAATATCATTTGCGTGCATGAAATACTAATACACAGCCACTAATAGCATCTTTTATTCTAACGTCAGTCCACCCGGGATGCTATAAATAGTCATTTGGGTGATGCGGTTGCAATTTTGTCCGCTGCTCCGCTCGGCCCTGTTTCCTCGACATGCACGCGTTTTGTCTCTTTAGCGGGATGATATATAGCGCAATGCTTTGATGAAATTAGCGGCCAATGACAATAAAGCTGCCAGGAAGGAAGGAAGGAAGGAGGGCGGAGATAACGACAGGCAGGCAGCGGGCAGTCACCACAGGGACACGGGCCAGTGGGAAATGTGCAAGGTTTCCGAGCGGAACTTGACTTCATAATCTTACAAAGCGGCGCCGGTGTGTCTTCATTCGTGAACTTTTTATAACATCTTAAACCCATTACCTCAGTCATTTTTTTTTTTTTAATTCCGTAGCGACCATAATGACAGTCCCCCCACTGATTTAAATTTGGTATTTGTTAGGAGAGTGATTCTGTTCTGATTACAAATATGCTGCATGCGCCACCTGAGTGAATGGGATCAGCACCTTTCGCTATTCGGTCAATAATGTGGACGGTTTATTCACAACCAAAAATTAGTACTTGGTGTTTGCAAAATACAAGGGCCATGATTTAATTTTTTTTTTTTTTTTTTTTTAAATCAGGAGCACCGCTAGTTTCAGCTCCAAAATGTGATTCAATATCATTATGTTTCAAATACTGTATAGACGGTGGCTATGATAAGTCTACACACCCTGTTCAACTGACCAGGTTTTAGTGATTAAAAAAACCCAACCAAAAACCAAGATGAATTCTTTCAAAACCTTTTGGACCATTAATGTGACCTATAACCTCGACAACTTTTTTTAAAAAATAAAAAAAATATAAAGATGGGGATTAGTACTACTGCCACAACTTAAATGTAGTTTTAACTGGGATGTCTCTGTGTTCAGAATTAACCAATCACAGTGGGAGTCAGCACACAACTGCCACCGTGTAAAGTGTCTCTCATAAACCCCAGATAAATTTCACTTGTTCTAGTAGGCTTTTTTTTTTTTTTTTTTGCTTTGTAGCAGAAAGATTTGCGCAAACACTGACTGCTATTTGCAACTGGTCATATGTCACTCAACCTTGACTAAGGACTGATTATTATTATTGTTTTTTTTTTTTTTTAAACAAACTCAGTTGAGTTGTACAGGTTACAGGTTATACTAATGTTGGTGGGGAAAAACGTTTTAAATATTGTTCTTATTTATTTTATATCTAAAAAGTAACCTGGTACTTGAACAAGGATGTGTAAACTGTTTACATTCCCTGTACTTGTGAGTCTCAATAAGAATATTATCCAAAAAAATGTTCGTAGCCTAATTAAAACAGTTAAATCCATGATATAAAGTATCATTAAAATCAGTAAAACATTTCACCAGAGCAATTCCTCGAAATAATAATCATACCTAATATTCATTTTTTTGTGAGCTAAGCTACAATAATAAAAATGATGAATATGTAGAATCACAGAATGAAATATTTCATGATTTAAATGTTTGGGTTTAACTGTTTGAATGTAAAATTTGGTTTTCCACAATATTCAAATTAATTGATTTTCAGTGCCGTACCTTGAAATTCGACACCCGTCACCGACATAAGCTACTTTTCTCTGTATTTATTTCATAATGCAAATCTTGGACTCGAGCTCATTTCATTCTAATGTGCAATTCGCAGCTTCACTCCAAGTACCTCAATTGCTCCTCAATATTTTGGACCTGAACCAATTTTCCTTCAAGGGAGGAGAAGGAGGAAGAGGAGGAAAAAAAGAGGAGTACGGAGAGGAGCAAATAAACCGATAGGATCATTATTCTTGTCTGCCACGATGCTATGGCAACAGTTTCCCCCTGCCCTCATTGGTTGTAGATAAGGGCGCCTCTTTTGCCATTTGGCTGCGGCCACTTTCGCTCGTGGGAGTGGACAAATTATTAGGCTGTCGTCAAAGCCCGAGCTGTCAATCAAATTCTTCACGACCGCAGCCATTTCCCCCCCAGCCCCATGCAAAATAGAAGGAAGCCCTGCTTCACGTGCTTGCAATTTGTTTTAGTTTTTGATGTGATCAAAAAATAAGAGGATATGGTTGGTGCAGGATATTAAGATTTGATGTGATGATTTAGCATTCCTACAGAAAGTGGCCGTTTTATTTCAGCTGAAAAATAATATAGATGAGTGACAAACGTAATAAATGAGAAATATGCAAGCGCCGTGTGTTGGGAACATGGAAATAGAGAAACAGCAACATTTGGTTTGGGGTCATATTTTAATTTCATCAAAAGATAAATTCAAAAACTGAGACTTTCGGCCCAGTTATATGCAAATTTTTAGTCTTGTGGCAACAACATGACATTCTGATGAAAAGAAGCTCGTGAGGCATCGTTTATGCACTGTTAGGATTCGAAGGCTTACTACAGAATGTTCCAAAACACTGACTCATAGGCAAACAGCCAGTTATAGAGAGACTATATTTAAATGTGTACTTTTCTGTTGCAATTAAGTGTGTTAATTGTCTTTCTCTTCTTTTTAACCGGCCCTACTGACCACCTTAGTCATGCAGTATGGTGGCGCGATAGGCCTTATCATGCCGGATCAAGTTTTTCCGTCCAACAGGAGAGTTTGATTCTATCCCTATATTGTAGTTTTTATTAAAATATTGTAACATTCATTGGAAATGTGGTCAGATAGGGCAAGGTGTGAGAGGGGACTGATGGAGAGATAATAGGAGAGAAAATAGAGCAAAAACCGCTATTGCACTGTATACAATAACATTATATAGGAGTAGGATTTTAGCTCTACTCTACCCTGGATTGGGAAAGCAGTGCTACACGCGTTAAGGAACGGACGCAATGAGTGGCAGGGCCGTGACACAATGGGAGAGGACAGAATAGGGGACCTCAGGTTGTCAGATGGAAAAAAAAAAAGTTGCATCCCAATGTATTTCGGTTACGCTTTTTGTCTTGAAGCAAGCACATAATAATAGCTCGCCGGACCTATCTGTCCAAAATGCTATGACAGCTAACGAGTGCAGTTTGTAGATATCTCAATGACAACTGAAAAAAACAACAAGAATAAGTACTACATGTGCATGTCTGAAACCTGTTAATCAAGAAAGTGAATTTGTCGCGGAAAGGAGGCTGCATAATTTTGGGTACAGGACAATCTGGACTGCCACTCCACCAACCTCCATTCAGTCAAACATGCCGCTGGATTGACTGCGACTACGTTGGGTATGTCTGTGTGTGCATGCGGCGGTGGGGGTCAGTGATCCCGTGTGACGGCTCAACAGACCTATACAGTATGAGTCAATCTCTCTCCGTATTCTGAATCTGAGGATCTTTCTGGCTCCAATATGTATCCTTGTTGGCCCATTTCTTCTTGACTGTCCTCGCAATTTTATCAACAGACAATATGACAACAAAAACGATCTGGCGTATGAATCAATAGCAACTGGTGGGGTCGTGATGTCACATCTGTTCCTGCTGTGGCGCCTTGCATTAAAATTAACCAGTGGTATTGCGGCCACGCTGCTTTGGCAAATATAAGACGAGCCACAAAGATGGGAACGCCAAATATTTATCAAACTTTCAAATATTGCTCCGTTTCCCCCATCGATACCTTGAAATGGGCAGTCAGAGGTACCCTTTAATTCACAGCCAAAGGCACACTTGGTAGTCGGAAGTACGACTGCTAATGAAATGTACTTCCAGGAAGCAAAGCGACAACAATTTGAGTTTATTAAACCATTTCAATTTGCTTTTCAGATCCTGGCTATCATCTCCATCCTCTTCATCGTGCTGTCCACCATCGCATTGTCTCTCAACACACTACCGGAGCTGCAGGGCACAGATGAGTTTGGCCAGTCCACCGACAACCCGCAGCTGGCCCACGTGGAAGCGGTGTGCATTGCTTGGTTCACCATGGAATACCTGCTCCGCTTCCTCTCCTCTCCCAACAAGTGGAAGTTCTTCAAGGGTCCTCTGAATGTCATTGACCTACTGGCCATCCTGCCGTACTACGTCACCATCTTCCTGACGGAATCCAACAAGAGCGTCTTGCAATTTCAGAACGTGCGGCGTGTGGTTCAGATTTTCCGGATCATGCGAATCCTGCGCATTCTCAAGCTTGCCCGCCACTCCACGGGACTTCAGTCTCTCGGCTTCACCCTTCGGAGAAGCTACAATGAGCTGGGCCTACTCATTCTTTTCCTTGCCATGGGTATCATGATCTTCTCCAGTCTGGTGTTCTTTGCCGAAAAGGATGAGGAGGACACAAAGTTTAAAAGCATTCCGGCTTCTTTCTGGTGGGCCACTATCACGATGACCACTGTGGGCTATGGCGACATCTACCCTAAAACTCTGCTTGGAAAGATAGTTGGGGGTTTATGCTGCATAGCAGGAGTACTGGTAATAGCTCTCCCGATTCCCATTATTGTAAACAACTTCTCAGAATTCTACAAGGAGCAAAAAAGACAAGAAAAAGCACTTAAACGCAGAGAGGCCTTGGAGAGGGCAAAGAGAAACGGTAGCATTGTGTCCATGAACTTGAAGGAGGCCTTTGCCCGTAGTGCAGAACTAATGGATGTGGTCGTGGAAAAGAATGACAGGCCACATGATAACCACCTCTCACCGAGCCGTTGGAAATGGTCTCCCAAGAGAGCCGTTTCGGAAACGAGCTCCAACCGTTCTTTCATTGTCCAGGATTTAGGATCTGAAAACAAGGGCCGAAACAGCAGCCCTCAAAAGTTAAACGTTCAGAAGCTGGAGGAGATGTACAACCAAATGGCCAAGACCCAATCACAACCAAACCTCAACGCTAAAGGTTCCAGGGTTGGAAAGCGAAGGGACGAGATCGAGCTGGGAACCATACAGGATCACGGTCCACCAATGTTGGGAACTACGGACGGCGTCGGCGACATGAAAAGTTTGTCCAGCATTGACAGCTACATCAGTTGCGCTACGGACTTCCAGGAGAATTCACGTTTCCCTCAGAGTACAGCAACGGACCTTTGCCACAACGAAAGCAATCGCTCCTCCCATAATCCAGCGATAGCTCTTCCCCAGCACTCTGTGGCCAAAACAGGTCAGCAAAGCACCCGTGCGCCAATGTTGACTCCCATCATCGTTCCCAAACCCTCATGCTCAGAAAATGCAAGAAGATTCTTATTCTCTGGAAACGCCTCAAAAAGCCTTTTCTCCAAAGGAGGATGTCGCAATGAGAAGGAGCCCGGACCGTCGCCGCTCTCCGACAGCTCAATCCTTTCCGACCACTCTCTGCTGAGTCCCGAAGTTTCCGTTTACACCACCGCCAGCAGCAGGACGCCGCCAAAGTCCCCAGAAAGCACCACCCTGGCCCCGACCGTTTTCACCTTCCATGACTCTTCCATCAGTAAATATATCGATGCCGACACCGATGACGACGAACACCTGCGTGACATCTCCGACGCCAGCCCCACAGATTGCCTGCTGAGCGGCTCCAGCCCCAAACGCAGCATCAACATCAATTACCAGAGAGCCGCCAATCATTTGGAAGCAGCTCAGAAAATGCTGGGACAAAACTGTCTCTTCCCCCGGGAAGGAATTTGCGGGGTTCCTCACGAGAATCACTTCGGTCCGGAGATAGGACGTAGACAAAAGGGGGAAAGGGTCCGTCAAAATACTTTGGACAAAAGCCACTGAGGTCTGAGTGCGTAAGTACAAACCATAAATCGGAACAAGAGTGATCGTGACAGGGACACTAAACACTCAACCGACCAGACACAGAAAAGGGAGTCACCAAGTTTAACCGTTTTACAAACCACCTGAGCATGCCATTGGGCCGTGGGCTCAGGGAGAACTCGAGGGCCGAATACTCTGGGAGAAAAATTCACTGCCCCTCTTTCGATTCATTCCAATCAGGAGGTAGTATTCCACAGCCTCGAAGCAAAGAAGCACCCCGATGTAGCCGGCAGGTCTGTTCAGCGCTCCAATGAGTCATTTTAAGAAAGTCAAACTTGGTTCTGTGTGGTTGTTCAGGTTGACGGTTATCGCTACATTCTCCAGTAAAAACAGTCCAAGCAAAACTCGTTTTTTTAGTCTTGGAGCTACAGGAGAAGACTTAAAAATGTGTAAGCTTCATCATGCCCTCCATTCTCGTACCTGGCCTTAGTCATTTGCAATTGTTGGGGTTGCGTATATGTCTGCGTTCGCGCGTGTGTGTGCATGTGAGGACGACCGATGATGGATGATCCGATGGTAATTCATGTATACTCATGTCAAAGATTGTCCGATCTGATTTATTTTTTTATAAAGACAAAATATCTTCGATATTGGCTATTTGATAGTCTGCTTTGTCATAATCAGACGTGACAAGTAATCGACGTCATGGAACAGAAGCTTCCGATAATGGAGGGTGCGGCCCGTCATCTGCAGTATTCCGTCACATGACATCATGAGGAGGATGGATCACATTTGGAGCACATTTGGCCAGTGGTTAAAATTACCTGTGCATCTCTCTGTCATTCATAACGGATGAAAATAACGGACTAAGAGTTTTTTTTTTTCCTATGGGTAACTGCTAAACATAATTTACACTCACAGACGACTTTATTAGGCACACACACAATTTAGCAAGACCCATCATAAGTGCTGTATGTACTGTATTGCGTCAGTTTTGATTGAGACAGTCAAAGAGGTATTAATTTAATACTATTTTACATTGTGGTTGTAGTTCGTGCAGGCAGGTTTTAAAATGTGGGCTATAAAATATTAGAAACAACTTGAAGTCGCTTTGAAGTGAAAAGAAATGCCTTTTGAGATTGACACACCTCAGAAAAGAATGTTGCCTACAACACTGCAGAGTTTGGAAAAAAAATTGCCACAGACAAATAAATAAATAAATAAATAAATAAATAAATAAATAAATAAATAAATACGTGTGTGTGTGTGTGTGTGTGTGCCGTAAGTGATGAACAAAAAAAATGGTCCCCAGAAAACATAAAAACGCGCCTGTGTGTGTGTGTGTGTGTGTGTGTGTGTGTGTGTGTGTGTGTGTGTGTGTGTGTGTGTGTGAGAGAGAGAGAATAGGGCACGCTCTCATTTACTCTGGCTCGTTTTCTCTCTTTGTGGCTATCTGCTTCTTCCATGACAATCATGCCATATTTTTGTGGTTCAATAAAATATAAGATACTGTATTGTATGCAGAGCCTCAAAACCCAAAACAGGTTGGTCTTTTTCCTCGCTACAGCACAGCTGTCTATGTGCGGTACTTAAATTTCTTCATGTGTCATTTAGTGCTGTTCAAAAACCACCACAGCAAGAATAAGCATCTTGTTAAAGGAATGCCTCAATCAAAACTGAGCATTCCGATGAAGGAAGAAATGGGATCATACAGCTCTTACTCCTATCAACGAGTGTCGTGTGTGCCTAATGTTGTCGCCAGTGTTTACGTTCATTCACCGACCTTGAAATAGTATAAAACATGTCAAACAAAAAATTAGGTAATCAGCTCAACAATCTGTCATTTTATATCAGAATTTAACCCTTTCAGGAACAGGGGGTTACTGCAGTGGACAGCTTATCATGTTATCAGGCCATTATTAGTGCATGAAAGGGTTAAAGCTGACCACCCACCCCCCTTCCCAAATGTTCAACATGCATTGGCCTTATTTTGCCCACTAGAAAAGCAACCAAAGAGACAGGCTTGATTTAAATACAGTTGAGGTGATGTTGAGAGGGGTACCGTTGCTACCTTTGGTGCTTAAATCTCGATAGAACTAAGTCATACTGCATATAAAGAAACCTGCACATGAGTTGGAATTGACCTGTGCTAACGCCCACGGAAGATGCACACCGCTTAACTTCAATATATGCAGCATCCCAACGCTTGGTTGCCACGGTGACAGGTACCATTGCAGAGTCTTCTAATTGGGGTGGCAAGGTCTGACTGCATGAAACATATACAAGAGTGCACAGAAGGCATATGGGAATGGCAGTTATGCATGGCAGTCACACGTTGGCATGGCCACCATTCATCACCCATGCTCATGACTCACGGAGGCGGCATTACAAAGATGTCACGACCTCGCCCGGTGACATGTTTACGACCTATCTTTGTAGCACATTGCGGATATGTGACTTTTTTTGTTTTTGTTTTTGTTTTGTGAACTGCATAACACAGCAACATTTAAGGGAATATAAATATTTATTAATAGAAGACTATACATGCACTTTAATGTCTAATTCATATGGGAAGCGGTCTTTGTTTATGCTTGCCTTTGAAAGCCCTTTAAGAGAAACACGTGAACGTATGCGGAGTGAACCAAAACCGTAAAAGAAAAGCATAACGATGCTGAATTTGGATCGAACAGATTCGAGTTCGACCTGCAGCGAAAAGGGGGTGCAGTCAATCCTATTTGTTTACTGTACAGTATGTGATTAAGTCAGCACCGCGTTGACAAGTGGCTGTCATTCATTCCTTTGTTTTGGAGTCCCAAACCCTGATTTCAGATTGCGTTTTGCATTGTAGTCAGAGAAGCCAGCGTGTGAAAGGAATTGCAACGAGGGTGCGAATGCACGTCAGAGCGAAGGAGAGTGTGACGCCTCATAAAAATCATCGCCCAAATGAATGTATGCATGTCAGGGGAAGCCGCCATTCTGTGTGTGAAACACCAAGAAGCTCCCCCGCACTCCAAACATCACGGAAAAGTACCACATTTATTTTTAAAGAGAGATTTCACGTTATGATTTTGCTAATGAATGGAATGAGAGGCGCATCGATCACCATTATTAGGGTGAAACCTTTTAACTGGTGACAACTGACTTCATCACCCGGCTCCATACTGGAGTTGGATTTTTAATCCAATATTATTTCCAGCTAAACCCCAAATTAGTCATACACTGAAGACATTTTGGCCATCAATTAGGTTTTTTGTTTGTTTTTTGCTGGAGAGGAACAAAGAAAGTGAGAATTTGCCATTTTTATAGCTTTTTTCATTTTGCATACTGTTCAATTGAGGCTTTTTTTTTTCTTCACCAGTCTAAAGCAGGGGTCCCCAACCGCCGGTCCGCGGACCGGTACCGGTCCGCCGGGCATTTGGTACCGGGCCGCACAGAAAGAACTTGCCTTAATTCCGTTTTATTTATTTCGGAATACAAAAGATGTTTAATTTTGAAAACTTACCGGATTCTCCGTTACATCCGTCTGTGTCTAGCTTGACACACGTCAAGCCACGCTTCTCCGTAACGTGACCAATTAGGCTAAAAACAAACACCGGAGCTCGCAAAATGAGTAAAAAAACTGCTGGAGAT